CTTCCTCCCTCCCTCCCTCCCTCCCTCCTCCCTTTTCTCCCTCCTCTCATCATCGCAGCAGAACCGCGGGGGCAAGGAGGAGGAGGAAGAAACTCACTTTTCATAATAGCTGCCCCGCTCGCAGATGCGGTCAAACAGCTCGCCGCCCACGCAGAGGTCCGTGACGAGGTAGAGATTGTTGAGTGTCTCAAAGTAGTCGACGAGCGTCACTATGGAGCGATGACCCTGTTTGTGTTTGTTTGTTTTTGTTTTTGCGTTGGTGGGAGAGGCACAAGGAGGAAAAAAAAGGAGGGGTTCAGCAAGAAAACACTTGCCTCGCAACCTTTCGAGGGGAGAGGGGGGGGGGAGGCGGCCTCGGGCAAAGCGACAACGTAGGGGATCTGGCTGAGCGAGACCAAGCCCCATCTCAAAGCCTGCAGAAATGAGGATATGCATCCCTCCCACCCCCTCCCTTCGAATGCCGACATCCCTCGGACCCCTGCCCGGAGAAAGACCAGAAGCGTGGGGCATGGGGGAGTGGGAAGAAGCCGCAGGGGGGGGGGGGGGGCAACCATACTGGCGGGGAAGCGGCGTCGTCCTGCTTTTCCCTCCCTTGCCCCCCCCCCCGCCCCTTCCCTTTTACCCCCTCGGACGCCCATTGCCCATCCCCCCCATCCCCTCTCTCGCCCCCCTGCGCCTCTGCCTGCGCCTCGAAAGGGAGGGCCCCTTTACACCGACCCCCACAGCTCTCTATCTCTCTCTCTCTTCCCCCCGCCCCCCTCTGACAGGCAGCGAAACAGCCTGGAGGCGGGCCGCCGCAAGCGGGGCAAGCGCAGGGGGGCGGCTAAGCCGAGAGCAACGTCGTCTCGCCGCACGCTTCTGTCCTTTCTATCCTACTGCCTCTCTTTCTCGAGAGAGAGAGAAAGAGAGAGAGAGAGAGGAAGAGAGAGGCAAAAAGTGCACGCCCCCAGCCCCGACAAGCGTGCATTTTGCTCGCAGACGCCGCGGGGGGGGGGGGGGCGCAGCAAAAACTACGAAGAACTCGCCCAGCTCCCGGGGGGGGGAGGAGGGGGGTGGGGGGGCAATGGCCCTCTCTTCCTTGCGCCCCCATCCCCCCCCCCGCCCCCCCCCCGGCTACGACTCCCGGCCTTGCACCTCCCGGGGGGGGAGGGGGAGGCAAAGCAGTTGCGCAGGGTTTGTGTGTGTGTGCGTCGCCAGCAAAGGCGCGCGCAGGCCTGCCTTTGCGTGTGCCGCGCCCGGCGTGCCGGCTTCCGTGCCCTGAAAGTGCGGCGGGGAGGGGGGGGGAGGGGGCTTGCTGCCCCCCTTTTCTGCGCCTGCCCACGGCCCCCATCTGGCATGACGCCCCCATCTTGCGCGCCTTTTTTGTGCACCCAACCCTTCACCCCCCCTCCATCCTCCCACTGCCACTTCCCCCTCCCTCCTCCTCGCGTCCCCTGCGCACGCTCATAGGACATCGTAACCACTCGCGCGCCAAACAAAACTCGAAACTCACCTGGCTGACCTTTTTGAGCGCGGCAATCTCGTTGCGCACCATGTGTTCGCGGCCCTCCATGAGGCGCTTGCTGATGACCTTGCATGCAAAGTACTCGCCGGTGCGGATGTGCACCGCCTCCTTGACGACGGCATACGTGCCCTGGCCCAGCGTGCGGCCCGTCTTGTACGCGCACGGCACCGTCTGCGGGGCGGCGGCCATGGCGCGAGCGAGAGAGAGGAGGAGAGGGAAAGAGAAGCGGAGCGCGCAGGCGGGTGTGGAGGGTGCAGCGCGGTGCAGGCGAGGCGGCGATAACGGCGACGAAGGCGAGGACTGGATTGGCGCTGAATGTGCTCTGCGGGCGTGTGGTGTGCGGAGAAGCAGGTGGTGGTGGTGGTGGAGTGAAGCAAGCGCGGCGCCTGACGCTCAGGCCAAGCGCAGCACAAGCACAAGCGACGGCGAGCCTCGGCCCGACATGGAAAGCAGTCTCCCAGCACGGCGCCTGTACCCGCACACGGGCCATCACGGCGCGCCGCCGCCAGCCTTCGCTTGTGCACAGCCGGCGCGCGCGGCGGCGGCTCAAAGGCGGCACACGGCCGTTCGGCCGTCGGCTCACGTTTGATTGCGCTCGACTCTTGCTCCGCAAGCGCTGCCTGCTCCTGGCTGGCCGCACCCCGACTTCACGTCGGCTCGGCTCCAGCATCTATCAGTCAGCAGCAGCGTTCAGACGTGGGCAGAGTGGCATCGAGCGCGGGAGGAATGCGCAGAGTGTCGCTTGCAAGCACCCCCTTGCCTGCCAACGAGGGGCGCGGCCTGCGTGCTGGGGAAGCACGAGCAGGGAGCCGCACGTGCGGCCCGGCCCGCCTTCGCTGCCGAGCCACGGCGGCGCGGTTGGTCGTGCGCGACGAGTCAGAGTGAGGGCCCTTCAACGCTCCCTTGGCCACAGCTCTCGAGCTGCCTTCGAACCTTGGCGTTGATCCTTCTCCTCGTCGCCGCATCAAGTGCATTTGGCCTGACTCATACGGGATACTTGACACGTCGGGGGTCCTGCACGACTCAGCCTTTTGACGCTGTGCGGGGCGTGGCTCGCACGCGCGCGGGCTTCTTACTCTTGCCCTCTTTGCCGCCAGGTCCGGCAGGCGCCAAGCTGTGGGCTCACTCCATCCCATATCTGGACTCCAGTTCGAGATTTCCAAGCCAACCGCTTTGCTCAAAATGTCGCGCGAAAGGCATGGCAAGGCGGGACAGACGGCGCGACGGAAGCGGTGACTCGGGCTGGCGCGTGTCCTGCGCTTCGGCTTAGTCACGCTTGCGCGCCAGCGCGCAAGTGGAGCAAGGCCACGCGAAGCTTCGGTCCGTTCGGTCCGCTCGGGCCGCGCGCGCTGAGCAGCGTCGCTACTACTCTCGCCACCATCATCCCCGCCTCTTCGCATTCTCGACGTCTACGCATCGGCTCAGTATCGTCCCTGCAGCCGGTCTCTCGCTCTCCTCTCTCTCTCTCTCTCTCTCTTCTCGCCTTCCCCCACGCTCGTGCGCCCCTCGCCACGCCCCCCAGCCTCTTCGCGAGTGGCACACGACACTTGGCGTGCCTCCCTTGCTGCCACGCAACGATGCCCGAGCTCGAGGCGCCCTCAGCTCCCCCAGCGGCGCCCACTGCGCCGCGTGCCGTGCGCGGCGAGCGCCGGCGTGGACGTGGCCACAGCAGCCGCGGCGGGCGTGGCGCTGCCTCGGCCTCCTCTGGCGCCGGCGGCGGCGGCGGCGGCGGCGCGCAGCGCTCCGCCAGCGGCGCACTCGATGCCGCCGCCGAGCCCTTTGCGCCTTCTGCTTCACGCGGCGGCGGCGGCGGCGCGCGTGGGCGAGGCAGTGCGAGAGGTGCCGGCCGAGGCGGAGGAGGACGAGGCGCCAGCCGGAAGCCTCGCGGCGGCGGCGGCAGCGGCAGAGGCGGCCACGGCAGCAGCAGCGAGGCAGCAGGCCAACATGCGCCAACAGCAGTGCTGGCCAACGGGCATGGCGAGAGCAGCAGCAGCGGCGGCGGCACAGCGCAGCACCTCGCCTCCTCGGCGGCGGCCAGTACGACTGCTGCTGCTGCTGGAGGCCGCCGGCGCAAGTTCGGCGGCAAGATTACCGGCGGCGAGGCCTCTGCCTCTGCCTCTGCCTCTGCCTCTGCGTGCGCCTCTGCCGCCGGCGCTGCTGCTGGTGCTGCTGCTTCGACGATGCCGCCGGCGCCTGCCGTTGTGCCGACCGAGTACGCCGACCTGCGCTCGCGCCTCGTGGCCGAGCTCGGCTCGGGCGGGTACGACTGCAGCATCTGCTACAGCACCATTACGACGAAGCAGGCCGTGTGGTCGTGCACGTCGTGCTTCTGCGTCTTGCATCTCTCCTGCGCGCGTACTTGGGCAAAGGCCAGCGTCGAGAAGGCAGAGGATCAGAACCGCATGCAGGAGGACGCGGCGATGCGCGCGCGCAAGGGCACGTGGCGCTGTCCCGGCTGCCAGTACGCGCGCGCAACCGTGCCGGCGACGTACATGTGCTGGGATGCGCAGGTGCAGCAGCCCAATGCCGGCAAAGGCGCGCCGCCGCATTCGTGTGGCCGCCCGTGTGCGCGCGCAAGGTGCGCGCATGGATGTGCGGCAGGCATGTGTCATCCCGGTGAGTCTGCCCGTAGCCCCCCTCGCCTCTGCTATCTCTTTGCTCATAGAAAGGTGCTAGGTCCCTGCCCGCCCTGTCCCGTCTCGATCAACCACCGCTGCTTCTGCGGTCGCAAAGAGATTGCAGTGAGGTGCTCGCAGCTCAGCAACAAGGCCTCCTCCTCCTCCTCCTCCTCCTCCACTCTCTCTTCCACGCTCGCCACCGAGCGCGGCATCTCGTGCGGCGAGGCGTGCCACAAGGCGCTGGCGTGCGGCGCGCATGTCTGCTCGCGCCCGTGCCATGCGGGGCCGTGCGAGGCGTGCGGCGAGCGCCTCGAGGCTCGCTGCTACTGTGGCAGAGAGACGCGCGAGATGCGATGCGGAGACGGAGCGCCGAGGAGCAGTGAGACAGAGGCAAAGGAGTGGCTTGGACGATGGTCGTGTGATCGAGTATGCGACAAGAAATTCGACGTGAGTAGCCCCCCCCCTTCCCCCTTCCACGCGTTGCCCCACACGC